GGCAATAGGGTTGCGCCAGGCCCCGATGACGATGACGGCGGCGACGACGACTGGGACGATGGCGACGCTGGCGCTGCTGGCGGCGATGGGGGCGGCGGTGATCGCGGCGATGGCGGCGGCGATGGCGACGGCGACGACGACGATGCCGTCGGCCGCCCGCTTCGCGGCACCGAGCTCTGCTTGTGCTCCGGAAGCATGACGGATTGCAGTAGGTTGATTTTTCTCGAGTGCGCAGCCGTTAGAGCACGCGCCACTAAGTGAAGCTGGCATCGCGCTGCGGCACATTAGCACGCACGAGGATCATCGCTTCACATGTCCACCACCATCCCACCACCCTGCCATCATCATCACCACCACTCCCGCCATTACGACTTACGATTTCTCACCCGTGTCACCAAATTTCTCGAATCGATACGTAGAGAGAGAGAGAGGAACATAGAGAGAGAGGTACCAGGGTATATAGACGGATGGGTCGGTAAACGCATGGGTCGATATATCTATATATATATATACACATCGATAGGTAGGTAGGTGGGTTGATACTTCCTTAGCAAGACAGATGTATCGATATACACATATATATAGATGGGCCGCTGGGTAGATATGCAGGCGCGCGCAGCCAAGCGGCAGCCAACAAACAAACAAAACCAAACAAACACAGAACAACGACATAATAATACAACTAAGAAAATCAACGAAACAAACAAACAAACAGCGGGCGGGCAAAGAGCTGCCACGCACTTTGCACTGCAACAGGCAAGCAAATATCTTCCATTCCTGTTTGGTGTTGCACAGTACGGGGCAGAGGCAAATTAAACAAACACTGGTTACCGCCACCTGCGCGACGGTGCGGGTAGAAACAAATAAATGCGATGTGCGGCGCCTGCCGCCACCGAGTAGTGCGCGAACAAATACATGCCGCGTCCTTGCGTCAACCATCCCCACGGTAGATCGAAATATCGATAGGTCGGTGTATGAGGTGCTTGAGGGACCGACTTGAGAGATACATTGATATATTGGTAGATTTGATAGATACATATATATATATATGTATATATATAGTAGGTTGGTCGAAGCAAGCGGGAGCAGGTGGTATTTATCATATGTCGTGCATTATTTGCCGGCGGCTCGCTTGGAATCCCTTAGGTGGCGTCTGGGGCTGCCGGAAGCCATCCTAGAGGCCAACCTTGGGGTTTCGTGGAGCTGTCTTGGGCCTTGTTGGGCCACATTGGGTCTATCATGGGGTTTCTTCACGCTGTTTCGAGGCCCTTGCTGGGGCCTCCTCCGCGTTGATTCCCGTTGTTGGGCTGCTATTGGGCTCTCTTGTGGCTCCGTTGGGGGGACGGTGGAGCTACCTGGTGCTACCTTGGCGGTCCTGAGGGCCGCGCCCCAAAGAAGCAAACACATGTATAGCCCGACCCTGCTGGTTGGTTGCTGGGGCACGTTTCCCCCCGGGGTTGGGTGAAAACTTCGAGGCCACCACGGCGTCATCTGGGGCCACACTGGAGCCACCCAGGGGAATCTTGGTCACTGCAACTACCCGCGGACGTCCCTTATCCAGCCCCCTGGGGAGGGGATCGGGGAGGGCGACACTCCCCGAAGAGAAAACGAAGGGTTGTTCCTCAAGGCCTCGTACCCTGAATCCCTTCGGCACAGAAAGCTGGTTAGATTCCAAAGCCGTGTAGTGACGGACCGCGCGCTGAGTTTCGAAACCCCAAGAGACCTCACTGCGCGGTCAGTACACCAGACGGTCTTGGGACCTCGGGGGCCTTGGTCGCCCGAGACGTCCTCGGAGATCGACCCGAGTTCCAAAGCCCTGCGGTGGCCCCGAATCTGCTTTGACTCACCACGCGGTGTGTGGTGAGCCAAATCTGCTGAGGAGGAGGAGGAGGAGGAGGAGAAGGAGGGGGAGGGGGAGGAGGAGGGCGGAGGAGGCGGAGGAGGAGGAGGAGGAGGGGGAGGGCCTGATTATGCGTCGACCTTTGGTGTGTCTTGCCTCTTTCGGCCTCATGCCACGTGAGCCTATTCGTCGGACCTCGTGGCTGCAACCACCTATGCCCAGAGTGTTGGTGAGATTGTGCCTCGATCTTTGCTGTGCCTTCCTCCTGCGTGGGCCTCTTGCCACGCGAGCCTGTTCGTCAGATGTCGAGCCTCCCAGCGCCCTGTGCGCTGCTCCGCCGTGTCGACGTTCCAGTCGCTTGAATGCTCAACTAACTTGTGCCAAGCTCACTATGACGATGATGACGCCATCGTCATCGCCGTCATCGTCCTCGTCAGTCAAGAACCCCGAGCTGTTGCACCACCTTGGGTTCCGGCATGGGCTCTGGTCTGCGGGCCGTGCCGCAGGTCTGGGCCGGAATTCGTTCGTGGCCGAGGCTCGCCGTGACCGGGAGCCTTGAGACGGGGGTCAAGAGCCTGTTTTTTTTTTAGACTCTGGCAAGTTTACTTGCATGGACGGGGGGGGGGGGGCTGAGCCTGAAGCAAGCCGGGGGGGGGGGCGCGGAAATCACGCAAGTCGGAAGGCACTTGCACGCTGGTATTCGCTTGAAGAGGGGCGAGGGGGGGGGGGGGGGGGGGGGGGCGAACGCCATGCAAGTAAACTTGCCTGAATCAACAAAAAACAGGCTCAAACGGGGGTCAGCCAGGGCACCGGATCCTGCAGGATCTTGCAGAGACCCCCTCTGGCTGACCCGGGTCAGCGTGCCGCTCGTGGCCGCGAGGCGGCCGCGCATGTTGGCTGACCCGGGTTTGCGAGGACTTGCGTTGCAGATCTGTTTCCTGCATTGCAGCTTTTTGATTTCCTGCTAACCCGGGTCTGGATCCTGACCCGGGTCAGAAGATCCCCGACGTGACCAGGAAAGCCCGCTCGTCCATCATTTTGGAGTGAACGGCTCGGTGGTTAGTTCGTTGGTGGTTACGGCCGTCTGCCTCCGTAGGCCTGACCACAATTTCTGACCATTGTTTGGTAGTGCACAGGAGGGAAATTAGCCTGGCGAAGGACCCAACCATATGCAGTTGTGAGTAATGCTGGTGTGAGTACCGTCTTCGGTGGATCTCCCTATGGGGCCACGAACCGTTTGAGGGGTGTGCCGAAATGAGTGTGGGGGCGGCATGCGAACGTTGCCACTGGGGCCTTCAGTGGAGCTCCTTATGGGGCCACGAAACGTGTGAGGGGTGCACCGAAGTTGGTGTGGGGGCGGCATGCGAACGCAGCCACTGGGGCCTTCGGTGGAGCTCCCTGTGGGGCCACGAAACGTGTGAGGGGTGTGCCGAAATTGGTGTGGGGGCGGCATGCGAACGCAGCCACTGGGGCCTTCGGTGGAGCTCCCTATGGTGCCACGAAACGTGTGAGGGGTGTGCCGAAATGGGTGTGGGGGCGCATGCGAACCCAGTCACTGGGGCCTTCAGTGGAAATCCCCATGGGGCCACGAAACGTGTGAGGGATGTGCCGAAATGGTGGTGGGGAGGCATGCGAACCAGCCACTGGGGCCTTCGGTGGAGCTCCCTATGGGGCCACGAAACGTGTGAGGGGTGTGCCGAATGGGTGGTGGGGAGGCATGCGGACGGCGCACTGGGGCCTTCGGTGGAGCTCCCTATGGGGCCACGAAACGTGTGAGGGGTGTGCCGAAATGGGTGGTGGGGAGGCATGCGAACCCTGCCACTGGGGCCTTCGGTGGAGCTCCCTATGGGGCGTGTGAGGGGTGTGCTCCGTGTGGGGCCTTCGGTGGAGCTCCCTATGGGGCCACGAAACGTGTGAGGGGTGTGCCGAAATGGGTGGTGGGGAGGCATGCGGACCCTGCCACTGGGGCCTTCGGTGGAGCTCCTTATGGGGCCACGAAGCGTGTGAGGGGTGTGCCGAAATGGGTGGTGGGGAGGCATGCGGACCCTGCCACTGGGGCCTTCGGTGGAGCTCCCTATGGGGCCACGAAACGTGTGAGGGGTGTGCCGAAATGGGTGGTGGGGAGGCATGCGAACCAGCCACTGGGGCCTTCGGTGGAGCTCCCTATGGGGCCACGAAACGTGTGAGGGGTGTGCCGAAATGGGTGTGCGGGACGCATGCGGACGGCAGCACTGGGGCCTTCGGTGGAGCTCCCTGTGGGGCCACGAAACGTGTGAGGGGTGTGCCGAAATGGGTGTGCGGGAGCATGCGGACGGCAGCCATGGGGCCTTCGGTGGAGCTCCCTATGGGGCCACGAAACGTGTGAGGGGTGTGCCGAAATGGGTGTGCGGGACGGCATGCGACGGCCTGCACTGGGGCCTTCGGTGGAGCTCCCTGTGGGGCCACGAAACGTGTGAGGGGTGTGCCGAAATGGGTGGTGGGGAGGCATGCGGACCCTGCCACTGGGGCCTTCGGTGGAGCTCCCTATGGGGCCACGAAACGTGTGAGGGGTGTGCCGAAATGGTGGTGATGATGATGATGATGATGATGATGATGATGATGATGATGATGATGATGATGATGATGATGATGATGATGATGATGATGCATGATGATGATGATGATGATGATGATGATGATGATGATGATGATGATGATGATGATGATGATGATGATGATGATGATGGGAGGAGGGAGGGGGGGGTGAGGAGGAGGAGGAGGTGGGGAACGCGGGGCGCCGTCTCTTCAAAACGAGGACCCAACACCACCGGATGGTTGGGAAAAACCACACAGGCACAATAATTTCGATTCCCAAGAAAATATGGGAAGTGGGGGGGAAGACAAACATTCAGAAATATGTGAAAATATGGAGGATCTTGTTATGTGTGTGTGTGTCTGTGTGTGTGTCCTAGGGCCCCTTCAAGTACGAAGTAGTGGTTCAGGATTTTGGTTGCATATTTCAATGACTCTAACTGTTTCGGCACTGGCTCAACCACCAACGCCCCCCACCACCATTTCCGAGAATCGAGTCACTCCGCATTCTTCATGGTAGCACGCTGCTTGTACAGCTTCTTGGTCCGTCCTCCTCTCTAAACCGTTCCGCAGCTGACGCGCCGCGAGGATGGCACACATGGATGCCTCCGATCTGGCCGTGACGGTCGAGCTGAAGAGGGGCGTTGGGGCGTCGGCTTCTGTTCAGCGGTGGGCGGCGCTCGCGCCGTCTGCGCTGTCGGCGACGATGGGCACATTAGGATGCAATTCCTGGGATGCGGCACTGGTATATCCTTGGTCGAACATATGCCTAGTCTGGCTTAATCCCGCCGAGTCTGGCGTAATCTGGTTGCATCCCGCTGAATTCGGCTTAATCCCGCTGAATCGTCCTGGCCAAGACCTGGGAGTTGCCTCCTAAGGTACAGCTGAAATCGGGACGGAAAGAATTATCCCAGGAGTTGTGTTCTAAGGTACTGTGGGGGCGTTGATTAAGGAACGTGCCCAGGAAGCTCCAGACCTTGGGGGATTCCTTGTCTGATGAGGGCGACAGCGCCATCAGACCAGACCCTGCATTCTATGTATCTTATATCCTATGGTTCTTTGTTCCACGCCTTCGTCGCATGCAAGTCGAGCGCGCAGAGGTATATAGACGCCCTCACCGTACATCGGAAATTGGGACGGAAAGAATTGGGGCGAAGACCGTGAGCACTTGATGCCTATGCCGGACAGCGTTCGCTGTCGGTGTCACCGCGGGCGGTGCCCATCCGGGGCCCAACGTCGCCTGCCCGCTGGCGGCCGCTGTCGGTGTTGAGCAGCAGGTGCTGCTGGGCACCCTCCCCGTTCGTGCCTTCCCAGTGTCGGCAGGGGGGAAAGCAATGGTCGGGGCGACGAGGACAGCTGCAGGACAGGACGAGCGGGAGGCTTCATCGTCATCATACGCACGGCGTGCGGGCGAGGAGCAAGAGGAGAGTGAGCAGGTCCGAGGCTCGGAATGGTACATATCCACCGCCTGGTGACCGATCTCCTTGTACCTCTCGTGAGGCGGTGGATGTGGACATGTTCGGACCCCCTGCGGCTATGCTAGATCCGAGTGCATCGCCCACTGGGGTCCTGGGAGATCGATTCTCCAGGCGGTACCTATGTACAAACTTTGGCCTCGCAGCATAGACGAAGCGAAGCAGAGGCAGGGTGCGCATCGAACTACCAAGCAGTCGAGTTCAGTAGCAAATCATGGAAGCCTTGTATGTCCTCGCAATATCGTACTTTGAGCGCACTAGCGTGCGCTAGCGTCTGGTTTTCGACGAGAAGTGGTCGATTTGACGTCGGTCGGCGTCGACTCAGAGCCAGCCAGCGTCGGTTGGCGTCGACTCGCAGGAGCCGGCAAGATGGCACGGGAAGCTCCCATGAGCTTTCACCGAAGTCGTGGCACGCAGAGGGCCTTCTCTGCCCTCCCCTCTTCCCTGGACCCCCGACGTTCAGAGCGTGAATTACCTACTCCGCTTTCGCTTCCAGGCAAAACCAAGCCACACCACGCGCCTCCTCGTCAAGCGGCCTGACCAGTACAGGCTGCAATTTGGCATCGTTTGGTATCTCCTGGAAGCGAGGGTGGTCAAAAGCGAGGCAGGTTTGTTTCCCCCCTAGACGTAGGGTGTTTGCTCGAAGCGTGAGCCCCCAGAGTTCTGGGCCCCCTCCTCCTCCTCCTCCTCCTCCTCCTCCTCCTCCTCCTCCTCCTCGGGGAGCCGGCTTCTCATTCCGAGTATAGAGGGTTGACCGCCACAGGGCCCGGCGCGGCAGCACTAAAACGACGCGAAGATCAGGACAAAATCGGATCGGGATCACTCGAAACCTCTGAGAATCGGCGGGTCTGGAGGATGCATTGAGCGCCGCGGCCGCTCCAGAGCGTTCCGGAACGCTCTGAGAGCGCTCCGGAACGCTCTGGAGCGATTTATCCCGATCCTGGCCCGGTTTTAAGAACGTTGGCGAAAGTCTTCCGCCGTTCTGTTTTCCACTAATTCCGTCGAGGGTGTGGGTCCCCGCCCGCCGCCGTGTTCCTGCCACGCCACCACCACCTCCCCTCCTGCTCCCCCCCCTTTCCGCCCTCCCTCTTCTGCAGCCCCCTCCCTCTCACGCTGCCCCTCCTCCCCCCCAGCCCCCGTCCTTTCCCTGCCTTCCCTCCCACCCCTTCGCCGCCAAACGGGGCCAGGGGCCCAACCTCTTCCTGGCGACCTCTGGTCAGCAGCGGGATCCCAGCAGAGGTCCCACCCCCCCTCGCAGGGCCCCCCCCCAGACATGCGGCGTCTTGATTTTTCAATGCGGGGCCTCCAGAAGTCTCAGAAGTCCCGGCCTTTTCCCCATGGACCGGGTTTGCAACCCCGGGTGGGTGCCCGGCGAGGGCCCCGGGAATTCTCGGCACGCGTGCGTTCGGCACGTGTTGTCGCGTGTTTCCGGCGACGGCGGAGCCGCAAGCGAGGGACCCAATTCGCAGGCTCCGGATTCTTGCGCGGCAGGGGGTGCGGCCCAATTAACCTGCCTCTGGCGCGTGCGCGCGGGGCACGTGCTTTCACATGTCCACGGGGCCCCCGGGAGGGGGGGGGGGGGGCAGCGCGTAAACTTACGCTCGCGGAAGGGGAGGGGGGGGCAACGGAGGGGGGATCCCAGCGTGCGCCTGGCAGGTGCGCGCGGCGCGCGTGCTTTCACACGTTTCAGGGCCACGGCGGGGCTGCAAGCGAGGGACCCAACAAATTGCAGGTCGCGATTTGATTTTCCACATGCGAAGGTCGGTGCGCGGAGGGGAGGAGCTCAACATGCCCCTGGCTCGTGCGGGCGGGGCACGTGCGTGTTCGCGTGTCCACGAGGCCCCAGGGGGGACGCAACTTGGGGGTGGCGACTTCTTTGCACGTGAGCTTTCGTGCGCGGAGGGGGCAGGCCCAACGGAGGGGGGGGCCCAACATGCGACTGGCGCGTGCGCGCGGAGCCCGTGTTTTCACGTGTTCGGGGCCACGACGAGGCTGCAAGCGAGGGACCCCACGTGGGGCCGCATTCTTTACCCGCTAAACATACGTGCGCGGAGGGGGGGGGGGGGGGGGGGGGGGGGCAATATGCCCCAGGCGCGTGCGCGCGGGGTACTTGTTTTCGTTGGTCCACAGGGCCCCAGGGGTACCCAACTTGGGGTTGGCGAGTTCTGCGCACGTGAAATTTCGCGCGCGGGGGGGGGGGGGGGGCAACGGAGAGGGGAGGGCCAAGCGTGCACCTGCGCGTGCGCGCAGAGCACATGTGATTCACGCTGGTCTGGCCGCCGCAAGCGAGGAGCCCAACTGGGGGGTCCGTACCCAGGGGGACCCAACCTGTGGGGCGGAAGCTTCTCTGCATATAAAACATACTCGGAGGGGGGAGAAGCGACACCAACACCACTAGGGGGCCACCTCCAGCGAGGAGGTCCACGATGCCTCCCCGAGCTGGAGGCTGGGGACGTCTCGAGCGAGAGGGTGGACCACACCACCAGGGAGACCTCCCCTTCTCCTCACATCTCCTCGCCCTGGTGGTGTTGGTGTCGCCTTCCCTTGTCCCCAAATACGTGCGTGGAGGGGGGGGGAGGGGGGGCAACCTGCGCCTGGCGCGTGCGCGCGGGGCACGCGTTTCCACATGGTTCGGGCCAAGACGGGGCCGCAGGCGGGGGACCCAGCTCGGGGGCGGAGAATTCCTCGCACGTGAACATGTACGTGCGCGTGCGCCGAGAGGCGGGGGCCATCGTGCGCCTCACTGGTGACAGGCGTCGCCGTGCAGGAGGGGGACGACGTGTGGAGGAGGAGGAGGAGGAGGAGGAGGAGGAGGAGGAATAATGTGGAGGCAGGAAGGTGATGAGGAGGAGGGGGAAGAAAGGACGAGGGAGGAGGAAGGAGAGGAGGAGGGAGGAGGAAGGAGGAGGAGGAGGAGGAGGAGAGGAGGAGGAGGAGGAGGGGGGTGAAACAATGAGGCGGAGGAAGAAGAGGAGGAGGAGGAGGAGGAGGAGCAGGACGTGCAGGTAGAAGCCGCTGCAGACTGCAGACAAGCAAATAGAAAATGTCGCACACGCGTTAGAAACAAAGTTTGATTCCGGCTCCGGACAGTTCTCGTGGATCCTTCAAGTTGACGGCCCCAGGGCCCAGTGAGGGCCCCGGGAGCTCGGAAATTCCCATGCACGTCGCGGCGTCCGGGCGTCGCGCAATGGGGGGGGGGGGGGGGGCGACCAATGGGGTGCACGCGAAAGGTGCAGGTTTCTCCCCCCCCCCGTCCCCCCCCCCACCATGCATCGCCCCCCCCCCCATAACACAGCGCCCAAGGCGCGAGCCCCGGGGGAGGGGCCGAGGAGGCTTGCAGGGAGGCCCGCGAGGGCCAAGCACCACGACACTGGCCGTCTGGGTGTCACAGCGGGCGTCCGCCCCGCGGGCTTCCCTCGGGCGTGCTCGCCCTGTGCGCCCCCCCTGGCGGTCCGCGGAGGCGCAGGCGCGGAGCGCACAGGCGGAGGGGCGGGGTGAGTTGGGGGGAGGGGAAGGAGGAGGAGGAGGAGGAGGAGGAGGAGGAGGAGGAGGAGGAGGAGGAGGAGGAGGAGGAGGAAGAGGAGGAGGAAGAGGAGGAGGAGGAGGAGGAGGAGGAGGAGGAGGACGAGGAGGAGCGAGGAGGAGCGAGAGGAGGCAGAGCAGGAGAGTAGGAGCAGGAGTCGCGTTAGTCAGCTCGAGCGAGGCGTGCATGGCATGCCCATTCCAACCCGCCTTCCCACGACATAAGAAGCAGTGCTGGCACAACCGGGAGCCGAGATCACATCGGCGAGCTGGTTTGGCACAGCTGATGCGGCCGAGACACCGGTTACCGATGGGAACTCTCCAGCTCGTCTCAGAGGCTGCGCGGGCATTTCAGCACGAGTCGAGGATGCCCCAAGAGGACCCAGAAAGCTTCAAGAGGGCCCCAGGAAGCCTCAGGATGTTGCAGGACACCCCAGGGAGCCCAGGAGGCCCCAGGAGTTCCCTGAAGGCCCCAGCGAGTCCTTCCCCAGGAGGCCCCAGGAAGGCCCAGGAGACGCCAGGAGCCCGTCCAGGAAGCCCCAGAAGGTCCAGGAAGCCCCAGGAAGCCCCAGGAAACTTGGCTGGCAAAACGCATCGCACGCGCAGATCGGCCAGCTGGCATGGCAGAATTATTGCGGC